TTTATTCATATCCGCGAGCCAGCTGGTTAGATTAGGGAAACGTTTTTTTTCCTAGAATATCGACTTTTTGTATTCGTTTTTCCTATTATTTTTCCATTCTTTTTCACATGGGAATTATTTGGATGTTACACGTCCTATCATTTCCTCTTCTAGCTTCCAGCATGAAAGATCTGAATTATAGACATTTTAAGTGCTTTAGATTATAGATTTCTCTTACTCTTAATTCTAACTCTCCTCCTTCTCCTCTCCTGTTTATTTGGTTTCTTTTATTTTTCACACTAATTTCAGCAGATAACAGTTCCATTTAATCACCGTGTTTCACATTCTTATTTTTCCCTATTCCCTGAAGGGTCTTTATTAAACAGTCGATTGGCTGCAACAAAGAGCGTCTGATGCATCTCTGTCAGAACCTTAGCTTAATTTCTAGGATCACCAAGAAACTCATTCACTCACTCTGTCTCTATCTCTCTCTCTCTCTATCTCTCGGCAAATCAGGTGAAAAGTAACATGTGTAAATGCAAGGAATATTGTTTTCTTTAGACCCTTATTTTTCAATTTTGGATTATCCTTTCTTTTTTCAACGATAATTCTTCGAGTGCTATACATGTTTTCCTCCTTTCTATTTTTTGTTTTGTTTTGTTTTGCCATTTTAGCGCTTGATTAAAGGAGTCAGAAATTAATTAATCCCTTTGGTTCGGTTTATATAACCTGTGTGTGTGTATATTCATCATCTAAATAACCCATTGTCATCATTAACATCACCATCAACATAATTATTATTATCATGTTTCATCTATCTTTGGTGCAGAATTTCAGCCCCCGTTTAAAATTGATATTGAGGTTCATGACGAACAATAGCCACTCTTGCTCTTGATTAATCAAATTAATTAATCAATATCGGGTCTTATTCTTCCTGAGCCCAATTTCTCCTTGTTTGACATGTGCGATGTATACATAATGTTTAAATATAATTGCATATAGCAATGAGAAAATAGTGTGTATCTTTATGCCCTCGACATTAAACGATGCAAAGAACCTGTTTCATAATCATAATCCTTGACTTATTATCCTGGCAATCATTAGCACTATATTATATGTAGTGTTCTTGTCCTTACCGTTATTACAGGCCCTATTATGACCATCACCAAAATAATACCGCGAATCTTCATTTTGTTTTCTATCTTCACCATCATTACCATTACTATTTTGAACATTATTTAGTATCAGTTGGTATCATCAGCGTAACTGCCATACGCAATCCACTCACAAAGTATACACGTATTTACACATACCATACACACAAGTTAGCTAACGAGGAACTCTCGCTGTTTCACTCTCTCACTTATTTATTGAGATTTCAAATTGTAAATCTTCTAAGCTTCACACAAGCACTATCGTTTATATTTTGTCATTAACTGAAAATCATGTATTAAGCACCAGTCGTCCTAATATCGAAGTATCCTTAGAGCAGTGTTGTCCAAATATTTTCGCCTATTGTACCCTTTATTACCTGTGTGCGTGTGGTGAGTTCCTTGTTTGTTCACGTACCCTTATGATCTATATTACGTACCCTCAGGGGTACGCGAACCCCAGTTTGGACAACGCTGCCTTAGAGAACCATTGCTGCGGAGGCATTAACGTACCTGTAACCCGTTTTTTTTTTAGCGTAGTGGACAAAGAAGGAAGGCGGCGTTCTTTTCGGAAGTATCTCTTCCCAGCTCATTACGGCCCTCCCAACCCAATGGCCCAACTGGACCCTTTCAGGGGGCTCTTCGTGTCTATTTATTTAGTTTCTATCTTTGGCATCATGGCAAGGCTCGGTTGGACAATCACGGTCACGGCTTGTTGAGGAGGCTTCCTAGTGCCTGCTCCGTTGCATGATGGGTACAGGCACTACTGCTAAGTCATTTTACGTTATTATGCAAAAAAGACAAAACCCGTTGTTAGTGGTTATTGAAGGAGAGGAAAGAGCACCCTATGTTATTGCCTTCTTATCTATTTATCAATCAAAAATCTTTATTATTTTCGTTATTGTATTAATATTTATCAGTTTTGTGTCTTAGAATTTTCACTTGGGAAAACCGGCCTGCGGTTCCGCCCGTGCTACGACACTGCTATGGGGGCGTCTAGGGCGCGTGCCATACTTTAGGTAAGTCACACACACACACACACACACACACACACACACACACACACACACACACATATATAATATATATATATATATATATATATATATATATATATATATAATATATATATATATATATATATATGATATATATATATATATTATATATATATATATATATATATAATATATATATTATATATATAATATATATAATAATATTATATATATATATTATGGTATAATATATATATTATATACCGTTTGTATTAATGTATGAATTTTTGGAAAACAATATTTGTCCATCTTGCTGAATTTATGAAAACGTCCTACAATTTATAAACGATGTTTGGTCAGTTTTAGGACTACTCAAACAATTTCACAATAACGAAATGATTATATGGTAGTGATGCATGTAAATGGAACTTAAATTTGATTTTTTACCTCTACCAATTTTCAACATCATATCGTATTCTTAAATTTGATCAAATCATCAATCATGTCTATAGTTACCCAATTAGTTTGTTAGAAGAGGGAAACTACGTAACTGGCTGCATTTGCTTATCAAATTAGGATTGAAACTCATGCTTGTTCGTGAGAATTAGGTGAAATGTCCCAATGGATTCTGATGTTATTTTATACAAAAAAATAGGTTTTGGTGGTGATCCTTGGTAGTCTTAGGCGGGATTTTGTAGACTGACGAAAAAGAATAGTTATTTGTTAAGATTAAGTTAGTATGGATTATATATTTTGGAGTTGGTGAGGATAGCTGTGTCATATTTCGGGTAGTTATTATAAGTGATTGAGGAAGATGGTTAGAGACGCTAAGTAAAGACCCCAGCAATGCTTTCTTTGCCCGTAGTTCCTTCTTACGAGGAGGAATACCTTTGCCTTTTACTCTGTTTTACTGAACTTCCGCCGGACGTAAATATCTATGAAAGAAAAATCATCTTCGGAAATCCTGTACACCCTATCTGGAAATCCGAAGAAAATCCGTAAATCCTTGTGAAATTCAAAGGAAATTCGAAAATCCTCACGAAATTCTTTGGAAACCCGGAAATCTGTAGGAAATCTCAAGAACTCAAAGAACTCGAGCATCAATATTTTATTAAATCTTGGTAATATGCCTAGAGATGTCTTAAAAATCGGCCAAAAAGTGCCCAAAACTTCGACAAACACCTGAGCAGTTGAAGGGAATTCGTTTGTTGCCACGGAATTCGATAGATCAACACAGCCTCGATCAGACGTTGAATTAAACGCATACTATCATCAAAATATACTGAATTGATTTAGTAATATCACAAAGGATTTATGCCATTTCTTAGACGAAATCGACCACCCTTGCAAAAAAAAAAAAAAAAAAAAAAAAATCAGTATAAACCAATCGAAGATTTTTATAAAACTACTGCCATTTTGAAATTAATGATATTGTCTGAAATGCCCTTTTTAACTTTCAAACTGGTGGATTTATCAGATATCGCTGACACGGTTCCGTAGCTCCGTGACCCTTTGAGCTAAGTCTCAGGCGATTCAAATGGCCTGTTGCGTACACAGATGATTAGATTTTGGTCGTGATCTGCTTTTATTATATGTATCCATTCCAAACTTGACGTGTTCTTACGGTATCATTTTCACCCTAAAAAAAACTAATTACGCTTTGATGACAGCTTGCCCGCATGTCATGTAGGTGTGTGTGTGTGTATGTGTGTGTGTGTGTGTGTGTGTGTGTGTGTGTGTGTGTGTGTGTGTGTGTGTGTGTGTGTGTGTGTGTGTGTGTGTGTGTGTGTGTGTGCGCGCGCGCGCTTAAATGTCTGTAGGTATATAATGCTCTTTGTATTCCCATTCTTATTGACTGATAACATGAAAAATATATTTCAGTTATGGTTGCATGTCCACGCTTAACTTTAAGATAAGTGAATTTCACAGTAACTTTCTCCTCATTCTGGTGAAAAGAAATGCTTCTTCATTTACACTTACATAAGAATACAAAGACATGTACATAAATATACCACTCCCTGTCACTTACAAGAACACGCACGACGTCTACTCATGCATATCCAATACACATTAAGGTATGCAAGGGGTATATAAACAAGCTACGCGTTTG